CTAGGAAAGAGGGAACAGAATCTGGAGATTGTTAAGTGTAGATCCAGAGAAAAGTAGGGGAAAAAAAAAACCCATCATGCTGAAGTCTAATATGAAATTTACATTACAGGAGAAAAAACAAGAAATGAAAAATAATATTCCTCTAAATCAAGTAAATGTGCTCATAACTGCATATTATTCTGTGGTATACATCAAGTAGACACATGCTCAGGGTGCAGTGACCACTGCTGATATAATCTTGTTACCAGTGATAAGGATTCTTATCCTAATTGGATTCATATTTCCATTCAAAGTCAGGCATATTATGTAATGAAGAATCTGTATAAGACAACCCACTAGGAATTGTGTAATTCAGAAATTTTCTCCTGGTTTCACATTGATCTCAACTGTAATTCAGATGTCTATCATAAAATGATTTTTTTTCCCCTTTAGAAACAGCCTTTTTTTTTTTTCTTGAAAAATACTCCTTTTCCTCAGGACTTAAATGCCAGATGCTTTACCTTATTGGGCCTAAAGCAACATGGTTCTGTTCTATTTAATTAGGCCACCTGTCTCCTGTTCCTGTTTTTTTATCCCTATAATCCAGCTTTTACTAAAGTTGGCAAATTATATACTTCACATGTGGTCATTATATGACTAAGCCCTAATGATGGCTATGTAATGTAAACAGCCACAAAATACCATAATTTACTCTTTTCATTAGACAACAAGCACCTAGAGGGACGAAATGGGGCATCGTGCAGATTATGCTCCCTCAGTAGTAATTGGTAATGAGGATGTACTTTTCAGATGTTTATGTCCATTATAAAAGTAATGTATGCTTATTATAGGCAAATTCGTGTGGTCTCAGTTTATCTCTGCTCCTCATTCTTGGTTCAGTTCATTTTTTAAAAATTATAACATGGATTGTTTTTTATTTTCAAAGTCAGAAATTCAAAGTAGGGTTTGAAAGACAGACTATAAAATTTGACTGCTGAATATTTTTTTCAGCCCTTTATTAGATTTTTCTCCTGGTGCTAATTACCTTTACCTTTGTTCTTTCACTGCTCCTAGGAATAACAAGTTTAAAAATTAGATGTTGAAGGTTGAAGGTGTAACTCAGTGGTAGAATACTTACCCTTGATTCAATCCTCAGTACAGGGGGAGAAAAAGGTAATTGGATATATATTCTAGTAAAAATCTTGTCAGTTGGAGAATGTCTTAAAAACTAAAAATGTCACCATCACCACCATGTGCCCTGTCCCCCTAATAATACACTTGATGATGACCATGTCTCTTAAGAACACAGCCACTTTCTTGAGGTGTTAAGTTGGAAGGATCTGGGAAGGTGAGAATTTAAAACATACATCTGGTGTTCTTTCTAATAATACGTTTGCTTTTCTATGATTGTGTGTGTGTGTGTGTTCTATATCTCATCAGGTATTCGTGGATAAATAGTTTACACCCTCCCAAGAGAATAAGTCCTTTCTTTTCTTTGAACAGTGACTCTATTGATCCTATTTTAGAATTTCTTCCCTTGTTTCTCTCTTCCTTCTTGGAAACACTATTTTTGAAGTCTTAAATTGATTCAGGTATTCCCAGAATATTCCTTTTTTCTCTCCTATCATTTTCAACTATAGGCAAAAAGATCATTTTTTGAGAGCTCTTGCTCCATTGATTAGTACAGAACAGCACATTGATGAACGAACAGATTGTGGAACAGATCTTCTATGTGAAATTTATCTTCCTACAACAAACTGTGTAACGTTGAATAAGTTCTTCAGCCTTTCTGTGTCCTGAGTTTCTTCTCTGTTAATTTGGAGAAAAAAGAAGAACCTAACTTGTAGGATTGTCGTGGGAATTAATTAACACGTTTATGAAAAGAGAACGTACTCAGTAAAGTCCTGTACTGAATTTTGTAGTAGCAATATTCCTGTTTGTACCTGAATACGAGGAAGGTAAGGAAATGATTATAACCAATTAAACCATTTTCTTACTATCAGCCTGTTACTTAGAGACCACTCATAGTAGAGGCTGGGTTTTTTTTTGTTGTTTTTTTTTTTTTTTTAACATTTTAGATCATTCTTTCTTCCTTTATTATTATTTGTTTCTCAAACCAGAGAGTATTTCCATTCTTCCTAAAATGAATATGTTGAAGAAGTCTCCCCTTTTATCAGTATTCTTTAAACAATATTGACATTGAGAAAAAGTAGAATAAATTCTCTTTTTTTTGGCAGTACAGGGGTTTGAACTCAGGGCCTCACACTTGACTAGGCAGGCACACTACCACTTGAGCCACTCTGCCAGCCTGAGAATAAATTCTTTACCCATTTGAATATAGGAAATTGAATATGCAAATTCAGGCAGTTGCAGAATTTTCAGTTAGAGGCTAAGAATGTGTGAGTGTATTACTGTGAATGAACTGTAAGCTTTCAGGCACCATCTCTCAGTGGTGAGGTCTCTCTCACAGTGTGAGAAATCCAGCAGGGCTTGTTCATTCCTTGTTCCTTGCTAACTTCAACCTGCTAGACAAGTAGGTAAAGAGAGTGAAGAGGAACTGAGTTTTGGCCCTAGCACACATACTCATGGCTGTACTTTTCTTTACCACCTGCAGGAAAAACTGAGAGAAAGATAAGAAAAAAAAAA